GCGGGGCCCACGGCCCAGGCACCTCGGAGAAGCGTCTCGGCCCGAGACATGAGAGGCAAAGGCTGCCCTTTGGGCACCTGGACCGTTCCCGGCCGCGGTGGGGGGTCCCAGGGGCTCCTTGCCTGCCCGGCTTGGGGGACGTGGGGGACAAGGCCCACTCGAGTGGGATTCTAGAAAGGGCAGCAGCCCAACTCCTGAATAAAGCCTGTGTGAGCCTGGAGTCTCAAGTGCTTTTGAGGCCGCCCAGCAGCCCGACTGCACCCGGCCCAGGGGAGCCCCCACCCCATCACGGGCAGCAGAGGGAGCAAGGCGTGGGACGGACCTTTTCACAGGAACAGGGTCTCTGGAGCTTTGCCAACCCTGATGCTTGGGTGAACCATGTATTTATTGCCTCTTTCACCCATCTAGCACAGATGGGAACTTGCTTTTTAATGAGTCATATTCTATCCTGTGGAACACGGCATATTCATTCATCAGTTGGTAGACAGTGGAGTTGTTTCCACTCTTGCTTTACTAGCAGCAGTGTGGCCCATAAGCATTCCTGTGCTGGTTTTGTACGAACACATTTTCAGTTCATTGAGTGGAATTTCCGGATCCCGTGGTAACTTGAATTTACAGAGGAACCAGACATTTTCACATTCTCAGAACTATGTGGGTCTTGTCAGTACCCTCACCAACACCTGTTATTGTCCATTTTTCGGATAAGCAGCAGGCACCCTAGCAAGTGTAAAGCACTATCTCCCGCGGTTTCAATTTGCTTTTCTCCTGACAGCTAAGGATGCTTAACATCTTTCCACGTGCTTACTGGCTACTAGAATATTTTGGAAATGTGTCTGTTCACATCTTATTTTTATACTTGAGTTGTAAAGTTATTTATACATTACAAATCCTTTATTAGGTATATGATTTACAGTCATTTTCTTTGATTCTGTGGCTTGTCTTCAGTTTTGTTTTTGTGGTACTGGGGATCAAACTCAGGACCTTGTGCTTTTCCAGGCAGGTGTGGGGCCACTGAGCTAAATACCTGGCCCTCTTCAGTATGTATGTATGTGTATATATATATATATATATATATATATATATCCTTTGAATACAAAAGTTTCTAATTTGGATGTCTATTTCTTGCTTATGTTTTGGTGTCACACCTGAGAATCCAATGTCCAGTGCAGCCAGGGTGATAAAAATGTCTATTTCCCTGGTCCTCCAAGTTTTATGATCTTAGTTTTCACATTGTCTTGTTCCTTATATTTTTACTTTTTCTGTGATATGAGCTGAGAATCCAACTTTATTCTTTGGCCTGTGAATATCCAATTGTTCTAGTTCCCCCCCCCCAAAGACAAGGTCTCACTACATAGTGCAGCCTGTCCTTGAACTCATGGTGAGCTTCCTGCCTCAGCCTCCTAAGTGCTGCGCATATAGGCATGCCCCACCAGAATTATTCTTTGCTCACTGTCTTTGTACCCTTCTTGAAAAACCAGTTGACCATGAATGTGTTTATTTCTGGACTCTCACTTCTGTCCCATTGATCTGTAAGTCCATCCGTGTGCCACTGCAGTCTGCATCACTGCACTTAAGGTTCTGGATTAACTCTTCTTTTTCAAGCCTGGGTTGGCTAATCTGAGTCTGTTGAATCTCCATGTGAATTTTAGAATCAGCTTGTCACATTTCTCCCAAGCCAGCTGAGATTTTGGTAGGGATTACATAATGTTGGTACCACCATGCTTCCTGTTAAATTATCTATGAACATGGGATGCCTCACCACTTACTCAGCCCTTTGATTTCTTTCAACATTTTATAGTTTTCAGTTTTACAATTCTTTTCTTAATTTTTTCCTAAGTATTTTATTTGGCGGGGGTGCCAGGGATCAAACTTGGGACCTTACACTTGCAAGGCAGGCGGTGAAACCATTGAGCTAAATCCCGTTTTTTTTGGGGGGGTTGGTTTTTTGGTTTTTTAAAACAGGGTCTCACTAGAGACTGACCTGGAACTCACTAGCCTCCCGAGTGCTGGGATTATAGGTGTGCACCACCACACCCAGCTCAGTATTTTACATTTGATGTTATTGTAAGTGAAACTTTTTATTAGTTTCATTGCTCAGTATATAAAAATAATTTATCAATCTTTCTACAAGTATCCTCACTGAACTTTTATTAGTTATATAAATTTTAGTGGATTCCCTAGGATTTTCCATATACCAGATCGTGTCACCTAGTTTTCTCTCCTCTTCTGTAGTTTTCAGCTTGTTTCATCTTCTCCTCATTACCCTAATTAGACCCAGCCATGTAGGGCAGAAGTGACCAGAGCGGATATCTCATCTTGTCTCTGCCTTAGGAAGATTCTATTCTATTCTGTTCTCTTTGTTGGTCTAACCTTAAACGTGAGTCCTTTCCTAGTTGCCCCTTCTCTGGTAAGAAGGCTCCCCAGTTCCTAGTCATGAAGGATGCTGACTGTTGTCAGAGGCCTTACTGTCTACTAAGAAGACCGTGTGGCTCTGAGCTTTGTTCTAAGGAGCGCAGGGCACTGACTGGTGCTTGAGGGTTAGGACAGCTGCGTTTCTGGGGAGCCCTTTGTCGGGGCTATGGTGGTGCTCAGGCATGGGGGCCTCAGACCTCTGACCTGGTTCTGGGATGGCACTGCTGCCTGCTGGAAAGCAAGAGTGCCTGTCCAGTCCTCAGGAGACCTGAGAAGATCCTAAGGTCAGGCACAGGAAGCTGGGGAAGTTGTTTTGGATGAATTCAAGGTCACAGGGCACAGGACCCCTGTGACAAAGGTACAGGTGGCAGTAAGATGGGTGGGGGAGGAACAGCAGGCAGCCAGGGTGGGGAGGGTGCCCGGCACTGCCATGTAGCCCCTGAGCACCTGGGAGCTGGCACAGGGTCAGGGACTGCAGAGGAACCCAGCACAGACTGCTGCTCCTGCCTTACCATCAGAGGCCCTGCCACCTCTGCCCATCAGCACAAGCTCTCCAAGGAGGGCAGGAAGCGACTGGCTCCCCATGGGGACCTTGCCACTGTGTCACCCCTCCGCCTGCTGACAGCTCTGCTCTGTCCCCAAGCCTACCCCACCCCACCTCAGACCAGAGCCCAACCCCCAGCTCCCAGAACAGAGGGGACACCCCAAAAGCAACCCCTCGGGTGTTATTTGCAGAGAGCAAGGTCCAACCCAACCGCAGCCCTGCCAGGCAGCCGCTCCAGTATCTGGGGTCCTCAACTTTCAGAGGGGCTCTTCGGGGACTGCTTCTCTCAGGCTTCAGAGACACAAGCGTCCTGAATCTGGGGCCACAGGAAGTAATGCAAAAAGAGGGTTCAAGGGTAGAGCAACATGAAGACATTAACCCCCAAACAGTGGTCGGTGCTGTGGGAAGACGGGTAGAGAACGGCAACAGGGCCGTGAGACCCGCACCCCGAAAGATGGGGCCACGAGGCCCAGACACTCATCCTGACATGTGCTCTCCTCTGCCTCACTTTGGCTGTCTGAGGGGACCTCCGCGGCTCTGTCGCTGTCATGGCTCACACAGCATCAAACCCCAAGTAAAACTGCCCACGAGTCAGTGGTCCCTCACCCCCAGGAAGGCGGAGCTGCGAGGTGTACTGGAGGATCCCAGGGGGACAAGAACCCCTCGTGAGGGATTCACAGCCAAAGTCTCCAGGCCCCCTGAGGAGCCAGAGCAGAGAAACCACCAGAGCCCCAGCTGGACCTCAGAGCACAGGGAGTTCTGTGTGTTGAATCCAGCAGTACTGGGCAGAAGCTCGTGGAAGGGGGTCGGTCCCTTTGGCCAGCTTCACCGTGCCCACTGCACCCACTCTGAAATCTGGAGGTCACTTTCCAAAGGTGCCTGAGGGTTTATACCTGGATGTCCCCCAAAGCCTCATATGCTCACAGACGGGGCTTCTGGAGGGTGACTGGATTCTGCGGGTTATAGCTGACTTGTCCTGGGGTCCTGTGAGGGTTCCTCTCCCTCCTCCCTCTGCTTCCTGTGTGCCATGTGGTGAGCAGCTCCCCTCCGCCAGGCCCCTCTGCCCTGCCGTCCGGCCTGGGAGCCTGCAGTCCGTGAACTGAAACACGAGCTGAGGTAGCCCTCTTCCCCTTCAGCCCTGGTACCAGTAACGTCGGCAACAGCAAAGCCACTCAGCCAGTGCTGCTTTGGGAAGGGCTCTTCCTGAAAGCTCTCTTTCCGAAAGTTCTTCCAGCGAGAGCTCTAAGCACCAGCTGCCAGTGCCTGGGCACCCAGCCCCTCAGGACACCTGCCCAGGACCAAACCTATCAGGCCTCATGTTGTCACCACAGGCCATGCAGCCCCGGCCCTGCAGCTTTACTTGTCTGACCGAGACAGAAGGGCTGAGACGCTCACAGCAGGGAGACTCCCTACAGAGCTCCAAATCACCACCGATACATTTATTCAAGGGAAATGGGGTCCAATCTTACCAGGAAGTTTTGAACTGGGGAGGACTAGAGACACTGATCTGCCCAATTCCTGCAGATTCACACAGATGCACAGGTGACCGGGCCCATCACGAGGCGTCACCATCACACGGACAAGCGTGAGATGAGGGGACAGTTCTGAGTCACATGATTTCCCATTCAGAAGCGCAGCCCTCACATCATAAAGTAGTGTTGAGAAAAATGAGGCGGAACCCAGCGGCAGCCTATGGCAGGGCCTGGACGTGACAGCGGCCTCAGGACAGCCCTGGTTACAGAGCTGTGGGACTCAGCAAGGGCCGCTCCCCCAGTCCCCACCCAGCCCACGTCCTCCCGATCTAAGGCGGCCCTCCTGACCCACAGCTGGACAGACACTCGGGCAGAAATGGAGCTGTGCCAGGCCGGCGAGGGTGTGGGGTGCTGCTGATGGTGGGGCCGAGAGCCGTCTGCTCAGGTGATTCGGGTTACTCCAGGGCAAAGCACGACCCTGACGACACGCGACGGAAAAGCAGGCTGGAGCCCCGGAAGAGCTGGCCCTGGACGGGAGGAAAAGAGGTCGGCGGAGGGGAGGCCAGGTCTCCTCCTCCCTGAGGTGCCTGGAGCGCAGAGGCGGGGGTCCGGCGGCACCTGTGCAGCCTGGCCTGTCAAACCCAAGGAGCGGCCGGCCAGGGCCTGAGGGTCCTGCCTCTCTGTCCCCTCTGCCCTCCCGCCCTCCTCAACGCCAGTGCCAGGCAGCGCTGGGGCTGCCCAGGCCATGGCTCGCCTGACCGTGGGGCAGATCCAGGCAGGAACAGGCACAGATCTGGTTCCTGCCCTGAGCCCAAGAGCTGCAGCTGGCAGGAGGCAGCTCGAGCCCAGCAGCCAGGGCCCACGTCCTGCCCAGGCCACTCTGCTCCATCTCATGACCTGCTGGGCCCCAACGCACCAGCACCCCAACTGGACCTCATCAGACGGCTCAGACCACACACCTTGCAACCTTAGCTCTAAAGAGACCCTGCGCTGTTGTGCAGGAGTTTGCATATTCCCCACACTCGTGGGTACTTTTATTTTTGTTTTTAATCTTTGTTCAGCCCAAGTTGACACTGCAGAGCTGGATTCACTCACACCCCTTTACTCTGCACTTCTCAAAGGAACTTTTTCATATCGTTAAACAAAAAACAAAACAAACAAAAAAAAAGGTTTAGTTTCTGGGCCCTGCTACCTCCATGTGGGCCAAACCACCCTTATATTGATGTATAATTTTCATTTTATATAGGAAGACACAGCCTTGCTATGTTGCCCACGCTGGCCTGGAATGGAACTCTTTCCACTCAAGTGATGCTCCTGCATCAGCCTCCCAAGTAGCTGGGACCTGGCACTAATGCATAATTTTACTTCATTTTACTTTTTGTTTTTTGTAAGCAGGTTCCCACTATATATGTAGTTCAGCCTGGCCTTGAGCTCACTATACAGCCCAGGCTGGCCTCGAACTCTCCACGATCCTCCTGCCTCAGCCTCCAGAGTGCTGGGATTACAGGTGTGCATCACCACGCCCGGCCTGATGCCTACTTTTAAATAAATCCAGACGTGGCCACATCAAATGCTTTCTGAAGTAAGGTAAGGTGCAGACGTAAATGCCTTCAGCCAAGGGCCATATCCTCTATCCACCGAGTTGGGTCACGTCACACTCCGACCCAAGGACATGGCACAGAACTGGTCCTCCTGCTCGGGCTGCTTACCTGCACACTCAGGTACTTCCAGCAGTGAATCCAGGACTTGAACACCGGGGAGTACGGGGGGAGCCCAGCCTGCAGCCTGCAGAGAGGGCGTGTGAGGGCCCAGGACACAGTCGGGTGGCTTGGAGCTGCCGCCTGCCTGCACCCAGACACTGGTTCACCCCAAAGGTGTGAAGCCCAGAAGGACAGTGGAAGGAGGGGGCTGGGCTGGGGTCCCCAACAGCACAGAGGGCCACACCTACCCGCAGTTGTTCACGGCCATGAGGTCTCCCACCAGCAGGAAGGGGTAGGTCAGCATGCTCACCGCAATCTGCATGACAACACCGAGTGGGTGTCCAGGCTGGGTGCCCGGGCGCCCGCCCCGCCAGCTGCCCCAGGCCCGCGCAGCCTCAACTCACCCCCATCACAAACTTGGTGTAGCTCCGGATGGCCAGGGCCTGGCTGAACTGAAGAAACAGACAGAGGCGCGGTTTGCCACAGGCACACGGGCGCAGGTGTCACCAGCCCCACCCCGCACGGCACCTCTCTTAGGGCCACCCGACTCGGACCCAGGGTGCAGCATGCTCTGCCTAGCACAGTGCACAGCTTGGCACAGTGACGGACCCCGGAACTTCTGGAGAGACAGACTTTTCCTGGGCACCCAGACAAAGGGATACCAGGTTCCCGCTACCCCACATCACCAAGCATCCACCTCTGAGACCCCACTCCTGAAGTTCAGCTGAGCCCAGCACAGGAAACAGCCCTAACTGGGGAGGATGGGCACTGCCGTGCCCAGTGTTCTGTGGGGCGCCCTTCCCACCTGAGGTGCAGCCCTTCCGCAAAGTCCCAGACACACAGCTGTACCGCAACCCAGAGACCAGAGGTGCCCTCCATCCAAGGCCCCGGCTGTCCCAGGCCTGCTCAGGGGACAGCAGCAGCTTACCCACCCACAGCCTGCGGCATTGTCACCGCAGGTGGGAGGCAGACTCTCCCAGAAAAGCTGGGACAGACACAGCCAAGCCAAAGGCCGGCCAGACCCCTATGGGCAGAGGCTGCCACTGGGACCACACACAGCTGCCCAGACGCCCACCTGGGGTCACCAGCCTGCCAACAGCCAGTGACCCTGGCTGGCAGAAGTCCTCCGTCCGCCACGATCCCCCTGGGCTGGGCCATCCTCACTGATCAGAGTTGGGCCACCAGTAGTCCCAGCCCTGACCTTTATCTTGTGGCCTGGATGCCTCCGCCCATCCTGTGCCCGGACCAGTGCCAACAAAATCAAGAGAGCCCGCTGCACACTCTGCAGGCAGAGACCCAGCCTGACCCCGCTGGGTGACTCTGGGGCCCGTGTTCCCTCTGATCTGTGTACCTGTCCCGGTCCCTGGGCAGTGCACCAGGACCCAAGGTCTTGGGACTCACAAAAGGGTCTGAGAGCATGAACTGCTATGCAAAGGCCCAATGACCATGACTGTCCTCGCTCGGGTTCTCGTCTTGTCCCATGGGCCCTCCTTGGGCTCCTCTTCTAAAGCTACCCACGCCCAAGCACCTGGAGGTCTGGGTTCCAGTGTGCACTCTCACCTTCCCTGAGCTGACTCCGGGGACAAGTGGGGGCCCCTCTCACCCGTGGGGCGGGAGCACCCCAGACCCCGGGCATCAGGAGTACACGGAAAGAAGGACAAGTCCTTGTTCCAACCAACCTGGGAACCTGGATTCTGGTCGTTTCCCAGCCCCCCGGGGGAGTCACTCACGCTGTCATCCACCAGGTAGGCATTGATGAAGTGGGCCAGCAGGTTACAGCCCCACAAGAAAACCACGTCGCCCAGGAGGTGGGGGATTAAGCCACTACAAGAAAGTGAGCGGACATGAGCGGGCAGCACAGCGGCAAGCAGGGCAGGCGGGCCAGGCTGGGGCCCCGCTACCCAGGCACAGCCCAGGGAGGGAGAGGAGCGCAGAAGCCCAGCACTCACGGCTGTGCTGCCAGGTGTGGGTCAGAAGCACAGCATGCGCCTGCCTTGTGCAAGGCCTGGGCTCCATCCCTAGCGCCCAGAAGTAAGTAAGCAGCTAAATGAAAGGCCGTGACTATAGCAGCGGCCAATGGCGACGCCACATGAGCCCGGCCCACGGAGCAAGGGGTGACCTTCAGAGACAGCAGGCCCCGGTGCCACCTGTCTGGCCGGCCCTGGTGGTGTCCCCTGGAGAGTGAGCGTTGTGGGTGAGACGCACAGGCTGCCTGCCACTGTGATTCTAAGGTCACCGCCTGCAGAAGTCGATGGGTGCCAGATGTGGCTGCCTCCCAGGTGCGAGAGAAAGCACAGCTGGCGCCAAGGCGACAGGGCGGCAGCGGCGGGCCTGGCGCACCTGGGCAACACCGGACCCCGAGGGCGGCTGAGGCAGCGCCCGGCATCGTGAGACTCTCACCAATGGCCAAGGAATGCTTTGGTTATAAAAGACTAAAAATAACAACAAAAAATGTATCTATGTGCTTGTGAGAGAGAGAAGGGAGGGCCCTGACAGGCTCTCTCGGAGAAGAACGTCTGCCTGTCTGGAGAGAAGCAGATGGCCGTTTTCAGAGTTTTACTAGTTGGGGGGCCGTTCTGGGAAGTTAACCAAGGGCTTTTTCACACTGAGCTACATCCCCACACTGCTTTTATTTCAAGACAGGCCTGCTAAGTTGCCCAGCAGAGGTAGACTCTGGCTCACCTGCCTCAACCTCCCAGAGTGCTGGGATGACAGGCGAGAGCCACCACATCCAGCCTGAATGCTTTAAAAATACAAAATATTTGAAGAGTTAAAAAAAAACCCTACGGTTCCACTGCCTGCCTCGCAAGTGCAAGGGCCTGAGTTTGATCCCCTGTACCAAAAAAACAAAACAAAAAAAACCTCTCTCGGTTGTGAGGCATTATCAGCAGATCCAACTCTGGGTGCACCTGCAGCCCTGGCGCCTCCTCACCGCAGGCCCCCTACGCACGCTCGCCGGGTGGCGTCTCAAGGTCCGGAGTATCAGGAAGGCTCCGCACCTGTATCCGTGCACACACGTGTGTGCAAACATGTACACAGGCCGGGGTTTCTCAACCTCAGCAACCTGTGCTGTCCACAGGCACCTGGACGCCAGGTGTGAAACCACGAGATGCCCAGCCACTGCCCACGTCCCCAGAGAGCAAGAGCTCCTGCCGAGGACACCGACGTGCACACAGGCTTCTGGCTAAGCAGAGATCACCAGCAAACCCATCTGCAAGCTGGAAAGCCGCAGCACGAAGCCTCGAGAACACGCAGCCAGCCTCTGGCCCACTATGTCCGCATCGCTGTCCACCGGCGTGGGCCTTAAAAAGCCACACAGCCCTCCTCGCCGAGCTGGCCTAGGGGTTCTGTTTATGCTTTATGCTTTCCCAACAGTCTTTTCACAGGGAGTGCTCTTTACAGGTGAAGCAGAGCAGATGAGGGGCCAGAGGGCCGGGGCTGGTGGTCACTGGACCCTGTGCCCTGCGGGGGACGAAGCCTCGGCCCCAGCTGACAGCTGCTCTACAGAAACATAGGCCTGGCAGGACCTGATTTTCCGACTTCAGAAAAGCCAGAAATCTGGGTTTCTTCGTGGACACCTTCAGTGCAACGATAACTAATTGGTCAGGACAGAGCACTGGCTGACGTCAGCCCGGGAGCTGCCAGTGTGCACCCCATAGGCTAAAGCACGGATTCCCTGGCCGTCCTAGCAGTGGAGCTGAGGGCTGTGAGGGTCCTCGGCTCATGAGGCCCAGCTCTGTCCATCACAGCGGGCCCGGCAGGGCGGCCAGCTCCATGCGCCGGACAGTTGTTTTCATTGCCAGGGACCGATCTCAGGACACACACGCGCCATGGCACAGGTTCCATCCCTGCCACCGCTCAGCCCCACTATGGAGCTGGGGCCGAACTCTGGTCAGTGGGGACAGCAGCCGTGGCGTGGCGGGCACTGCGGGGAGAGCCACACTCATGCTGAGTATGGGGCGGGGACTCACGTACACGAAGAAGCCCAGCAGCCCCTCCTCTTTGAAAATCTTCCCAATGGAGCTCAGCACACCGCTGCGAAGGAGGCAAGAGAGGGATCCAGGTCACCGGTCACCATCGGAGCCCACACCAGCCCTGCGGCCCCTGCCCGGGGGGCCGTGGGGAGAACCCAAGGGGTAGGAGAGAAAGCAGGGGTGGGGTGCAGTGCTCTGCTGTTCTCTGCAGGAGGCAGTTCAGGAGCAGCCTGGCCACCCAGCCTCCCAGACGGGTGCAGGCCCACCCCACAGGAAGGGCAGGAAGGGGTGGTGGGCAGAGCCGTTTTCCCGGGCCGAGGCAGGAACCCAATTCCTGCAGCAGAAGGCCCTCCCAGGGGAGGCTTGGGCCCAGTGCAGGGGCCACTGCAGCCAGTTAGAGATCAGAGGCAGCTGCAGTGTCTCCAGAGATGTGCAAAGCCCTGGGGAAGGGAGAGGCGGCAGGGAGGATGGGGGGCCCGGCCTCGCCAGGCCCCAGGGCTCCCCTGAGAACAGAAGCGAGGCCCCTGGGGTTCACGCCAGGCACCGACCTCACGTTCAGTCTGGGGAGTGGACATTCCCACTAGCCAGCTTCCTGGGGTGGCAGCCCCCCGGGGCACAGTGGAAAACTGACCCGGGAAGGCTGTGTCGGGACAGCGGTCCTCAGGCCTGGACTGGGTATCTGCTGTACGGCTAAACCAGGGTGCTCCGAGCCCACCTGGAGGACAGCGCTCGGCAGAGGATAGAAAGACCTAGAATCTGGGTGCTGCAGCAGCTTGAGAAACCAAGGGGCGTCACTGAGGGGCAGGAGGGACCCGGTTCGGTCCTAGGCAGAGCATCGGCTCCAAAGCCCAGCAGGCCCCACCCGGTGTCATCACAGGCACAGGTCAGCAGGGGGCTGGAGCCTGAACCCAGCTGGCCGGGCGGGCAGGCACCGGGGCACCAGGGCCACTGTGGCAGACCCAGAATTACCCACCTGTACTTGGCCTCCCGTCCCACAAACTGGACCATGCAGCGCATTGAGATGACTGTGGAGAGAGAGGCGTGGGGTGACCTGGCAGCAGTGCCTAGGACACGCGGCCACGGTGCCCAGCACAACAGGCCTCCGTCAGAGTGCAGGAGAGGGGCTCGCCCCTGTCGCCATAGCACCCCCTTTTCTGCCGGGAAGGTCCCGGCCCATGGTCCCCACTGTCCAGGCCTCCGCGGCCACCGCCCCAGCTCACCATGCAGCGGGTGGGCCAGCATGCGGGACACGCACTGCATCACCATCTCGTAGGACGTCTAGAGGACAGCAGAGGCGGCCCGTCAGCCTGGGCCACCGCGGGACCCCCGCCCTGCCCGGCCGGCTCTGGTCTGAGCATCCCCATGGGCTCCCCCGACAGCCGGGCACACACAGGGACCTGCAGGGCAGACGCCCACCTCCTTCACCACCTTCCTCAGGGACGTCTTCATGTCGTCCTTGTTGGAAGCCTGCTCCATCTCATCTGGGGGGAAGACCTGGCACGGGGACCGAGGACCCAGAGCAGGCTCAGTGAGGGGACCAGATGGCCGGAGGCAGTGCCCAGCGTGTCCCCGCCCACCTCGGGCAGCAGGACAGCGGGCAGGGGCCTGCCAGGCACCAGCTCACCCTCTTCATGCTGCCCCGGGTCACGGTGGAGAGGGCGTTGGACATGAGGCGGGGGCTCAGGCCCCGGAACAGCCCGATCTTCCCATCCACTTGCACGATGTACTTGGCTGCAAGAAAGCAGAGGCCGCAGTGTCACACCCGCCCAGGGCACCCAGCCCCGCACACGCGGCCCAGACACAGCCTGAGCGGACCCTAACCCCACAATGTCCCCTCGCCCACTTCTCTTTGCAGAATCTTTCCACACACTTCTGACAAACAAGCACACCCACTTGGTTTTTTAGCTTTGAAAACTCCACTCAGCAAATCCAGCTACGGTTCTCGACTCAGTAACGTAAGAGCTGCAGCCCAAAACCAATTTCTGCAGCTTATGTCTTTCTTTCTTTCTTTTCTTTTTTGAGACAGGTTCTCACTACGTACTTGAGACTGACCTGGAACTCACTATGTAGCCCCGGCTGGTCTCAAACTCACAGCGATCCTCCTGCCTCAGCCTCCCGAGTGCTGGGATCACAGGTGTGCACCACCACACCTGACTCAGCTTGTATCTTTCTTAGGTGAAAAAAAAAAAAAGGATAAAGTGCACAAAGGCGTGAGGTCCTGGAAACCTGGGGAGGAGGAGCAGAAGGGAGGATGGCCAGGGACAGTCTTGGCCACACCAGACACCATGGCCCCGTCCGAGCTAGCGCCTGCAGTGAAGGTGGCCGCACCAGGAGCACCCGGGCTCTGCCCAGCTGCGGCCAGGAGCTCAAGCCCACCACGGGGCAGCAGTTCCACTTCGTGTGCTCCTCGTAAGGAGACTCACTGCTCCGTCACATCAGCTTTGGAAACACGTTCCAGAAGGCAACGCGCGCCCTAAACCTGTGCCCTGGGAGGCAACAGAACCTGCTCAGACCCTGCACCAGCTCTCCAGCACCATGCGGAAGCAGCGATGGGCCAGCAAGCCACACCCCTGCCGGGGCCCCAGTCACCACCAGTCACCACCAGCGGGGCTCTCGGGCTGGCGTACGAGTTACCTGCACACATGGCGTCCTGAGATGGAGGCACTAGAAGGGAGGGGCAGGAGGGGAGAGAGCACCGGACACTCACCGGAGTGGCCAGCAGAGGAGGGGTTTGCTCTGGTTTAGGGGAGACCCTGGGCAGCAGAAGGGAGCCACGTGACACACCCTGGGCAAGCACTTGGCTCTTCCGGTCTGATCTGCCCATCTCTCCCCACAGATAATGTCACGACCACCAGAGTGCGCCTGTCATCCCAGCACTCAGGAGGCAGAGGCAGGAGAATCACTACAAGTCTGAGACCAGCCTGGGCTACACAGTGAGACCCTGCCTCAAATAAACTAAACTTTTAAAACGTCACGACGGCTGTGGTGGCCTCCACCCACAGGGAGAAGCAGACACCGTCCCAGTGGGCGTCCAGAGCACCCCACGTGCCTCATCACATCCAGCCGAGGACATTTCTGGGAACAGGGCAGGCCCGCCCCAGGCCCCTGCGCATCTCTGCAGGTCCTGCAGGTCAAGGCCGCTCCGCCCTGGCCCTCTGCAGTAGCTGTGCCACGGAGACCGCCCGGGCTCCAGCCTCAAGTCCCTCACACCACGGGCGGCCACACAAGAAGCCACGATGAGGGCCTGGCCATCCCTGCGCAGCCACCTCACACCCAGGTCCCCTCTGCTGCTCAGTGCGGGGCCTTTCCCTCCCCTATGCTGCCATCAAAGCAAAGGCTCACAGACGCGCACACATCTCCCCAAGGAAGGCCGCAGACCGGAGGAGCAGCAAGCATCTGACTGGCCGCCCGGTCACCCACAGGATGCTCTGGCCGGCCCACAGCACAGGAGGGCGGAGGGCAGGGTGTGCGCAACCTGGACCGGCGTTTGGCCTCGAACACATGGAGAGAAGGGGCGCAATGAAGGAGGCGCCCACGTCCCCTGGACAGGTGCCGGTGGGGAGGACACTGGTGGTGGACCTGAGAGGCCCCGGCCAGCTGGCATCTGCAGGTGCACTGGGGGCAGCAAGGTGACAGGGACAGCTGCTGGGATGGGGACCTGACGTAGCCCTGAGGCAGAGGTGCTGACCCGAGCCGGCAGGTGGGTGCAGTGGGTACAGCTGAGCAGCACCGAGCGCAGGCAGTGAGGCGGGGACACAGAGGCGACAACCAGGTGTGAGAAACACATCCAGGAGGCACAACTGGGACCCACGGGTGGGGGACCAGGGCCTAGACCCGCCCTCTCTGCAGCACCACACCCGCTCCCGCCTCTGCCACGGGCTGCCTGGGGGTCCCCAAGGCCTGCTCCCACCTTCGGCCTCTTCCCCGTCACTCACCGTAGGTGAAGAAGCTCGGCAGGTAGAGGACCTTCCGCCCAAGCACGTTGGTGCCCAGGGTGGGGGGCATCGGCTCGTGACCCACCTTCGGGGCGAGAGACAAAGCGAGTCCTGCGGTGACGCCCCCGCGCAGCACCTTCCCCAGCTCCCCCATCTCCCACATCCCACGCTGTTCCTGTCCTCAGCGAAACGCCCCAGAAATGAAGCCGGCGCCCCAAGAACAGCGGGTACCCCGACCCGAGCCCACCTGTTCTTCAGCACTCCCGCCTCTCGTTCTGGGTAGAAATCCCTAGTTTTAAATACTTCGAACCCCGTGCTCCTCTCAGAGTAAATCTCATCTCCAGCCAAAATCTTCATCCCAACCTAATTCCCAATGCTGCAGCATCGAAACAGGGCCACCGCCCGACACGCCACGCTGCCGGCTGCTCCCAGTCTCCACCGAGGCTGCTGCAGCCCCACCACAGCCGCCCTCCTGTCCCTCGGTCCCACAAACGCCCCTCGATTGCCATCCGTACCTTGTGACAAAGGGCCGCCCCGGGCCTACGGGTCTCGGCCAGGCTTCGGCCCACCCACACCCACAGGGCAGCTCTGCCGAGGCACAGGTCTGTTCTGGTGTCAACCTCGGGTGCCAGGTAGGCGCTGAGGTGTGCGGAAGCCCAGCGCCTGGACAGGGAGGGAGGGAGCAGGCTGCGCTGCTCAGAGGGGCTGGGACAGCACCAGGTTGGGGGACCTCACGAGGACTGCATCAGGGGCCTCTGAGCCCTTTCCCAGGCTGGACTTCCTCTCTTCTTGGCCTTAGTCAGGCAAGCGGCTGACAAGTTGTGCTATGTGGTTCAAGCTGGCTTTGACTTTGCTGTGCAGCCCAGACTGGCCCTGAACCCAGGTGATCCTCCTGCCTCAGCCTGCTCGGCTTGCAGGTGTGGGCCACCAGGCCTGGCTCTTTAGCAGGGCTGTGGGAATTTTTTTTTTGTACCAGGGATCGAACTCAGGCCCTTGCAGCAGAGCCACTGAGCTAAATCCCCCGCCCCATGTGGGAAATGCTTTTGAAAGTTCAGGTTGTCTCTTGGATTGAGACAGGTGACAGATTCCTGATTATAAGTATAAAGCCGTTGTTACAAGGACTATCTTAAAGCAAATTCAGCCCAGGACAGGGAAAGGGGAGGCGAGATACCCTAGCAGCCGGCCTCCCTACCAGACCTTTCCTTTCTGGGGCTGGGGATTAGATTCCATCCTCTAAGGTGCAGGTCCTGCTCCCTTTATCCCCTTCACCCCAAGTCTCTATCCAGCCCATGTACCGCAGTGTGGGGGGGGTCCCGCTCATTCCAAAGTCACCTTAGCCCGTGTCCCTCTGCCCCATGTCCCTGTGGCCTCCAGATCTGCCGAGTTCATTTTCTGAACTTCTGGGCTCAGCCAAGGCTCCCTGGCCGATGGCGCCCGCCCTCTCACCTGTGGGCCAGTGCTGTCCCCACATTGTCGACAGGGTCCTGCCCATGCCAGCATCGAGGCAGCCGCCAACTTCAAATCTGAGGCACTGAGTTAGCACTGACTCCACACAACCCCAAATCCCACACTCCCCAAGCAGTAACTGCCTTTGTCAAGATGCTGTTCTGACCCAGGCTCTCCGGGCTAAGCTCTCACCCCGAGCGCTCCCGTCCCCACCTGCCCCCACCTTCCAGGTCTCACTCTTCGGGCTCTTCCGTTCCTCAGTTCTTCTTCTGGTACCGGGAATGGAACTCGGGACCTTGTGCTTGCCAGGCAGGCGGTGGCACCACTGAGCTAACTCCCCGGCCCCTTCCCCTACTCTTCTTCCAGACGCCTTTCCATTCTTTCCAAGCTTGTAAACAAAATCAACCACTGCCCAGGTGACGCTGCTACTCCCGCGTTTCCTTCACACGGAGACCACCCCAAAGCCTCTCCCACTGCCACCCTAAAATCCCAGCTCCCTGAACCCCCTCACTTCTCAACTCAGGCTTCAGCAAAGCACCAGCGCCTCTCCCAGACCTACGACCACGATGGCTGTGGGTCCGGAGCCTCTCAGGAGAGCGGCCTTGTCCCACCCAGACTGCACGACACCAGCCTCCGCCAGCACCTTCTGTCCCGGGCGCTCCCAATCTCTCAGGCTCAGCTCTCTCGGGCACCCCGCTGCCCCACCGAAACTCCTCGTTCCGTCAGATTTCTGGTCACCTCCACTCCTGACCCCAGATTTCAGCTATGCCCATT